CACTAAGTCTTAGCGACTCTTATGCACCAACATAAAACTAATGGTTGGAAAAATGACAACAATGTCTGCTCTTACCACTTCCCTGAGCTGGAATTTCTAGTCTGTGCAACACTGACCAACTGATGTGAAACAAAACCTATTTCACTGTTATAAAAGATGAAAAATGACACTTAAGTATGTGAAATGATATTCAACTTTACATGATTAGAAAACTGAAATTTAAAGTACACTGAGAGACCCTCCCTGGTGGTCAGAGGTTAAGAATCCACCTGCCAGTGTGGTGGATGTGGGTTCCATCCCTGGTCCGGAAGGTTCCACAGGCCACAGGGGCAGCCAAGTCCTTCTACCACAACCATTGAGGCTGCGCAATACAACACCCGCGAACTGCAGCTGCTGAGCCCGTGTGTTCCAGAGCCCGTGCCCCGCTGCAAGGAGAAGTCCGTGCACCACAACCAGAGAAAGCCATGCGCAGCAAGAAGACCCAGCACAGCCAAAAATAAAAAAGCAAAGTACACTGAGGTGTAACTTCTCACATATCAGACTGGCAAAAATTTAAAAGTGCATAGGCTATGGGGAAGCTGGCCCTCTCATGTATTATTAGTGGGGCTGAAAATAAGTACACTCCTTTTGGAAGGCAATTTGACAGTATCCAACAAAACTACATAGTTATCTTTTGACTCAGCAATTCTACAGTTTGAAATTTACCCTCAAGACACATTTCCAACAGTACAAAAATACTTATCCACATGGCTACTCCTGCAGCATGGTCAATAATTAAAAAATATTGGAAACAAATTCAATGTCCATACAACAGGAAAAGAGTTAAAATAAAATGTAGCATATCCACATGATGGAGTACTCTGCCACAATGAAACAAAATAATGAAGATTTCCATGAACTAATGTGGAGTGATTTTGAGAATATCTGTTAAGCAAAAAAAGGTCACCTAAGTACGCAGGAATGGCACAAGTGGGAATGGGATAGAAAGGATACAGAGAATTATGATGGAAAGGAATGACATTTTTCTAAGGAGAACCTTTTGTATAGTCTTGACTTATAAAATAGTTAATATCTCATATTCTTTAAAAAAATCACAAGGATGGAAGGATAAACACTAATTTATATGAACGAAAAATAAACTAAATGGAATTTCAAATGAATAACGTAAATATACTGAAGGGCATATAAGAACTAACCCAGATAACTTTTGAACACTGTATTTGGACGTCATGTCTTTAGGCTTAAGACAAGAACTCTGAACTGAATTAGTCGGTCTTTTCAGAGGCATGGGTTAGCAATTTTGAAATCCCTTTCTTTTCACTATAGGATTGTGCAATTAAGTAACTTGTAATTGATAATGGGAGCCAGGTTACTGTCACTGAGTTAAAATATGGAAAGAGATTAGGATAGAAAAGAATGAACCAGAGGGTATTGGATTGGAACTGGAGATATCAGTATGAACTTGGGGATTTTAAGGAGGCTGATTCTAGGACACAGGCAGAGAAACTTTAAGATGAGGCTGAACATCATGTGTGCCAAAAAAATCAGGAAGTACTCAAAGAATGCTAGGGACACGTCAAAAGGGCACAGAAGCCACTCTGAAGTAGTTCCCTTTGGCTAAATCTGGAAAATCTGAATAATAAATAAAAAGTGATAGTACGATTGTAACCTATTGAATGCAGAAAGAATTTCTGAGTCCACACTGATACAGATAGATACATAGAGGAAAAGGAAAAGTTCATCCTTAGAGTTGAAAGCCAACTAATAAATGTAAAAGAAATGATGAAACTATATGAGAGTCAGAATAACATAAGATTTAGGCAAAAATCATCAATGGACACTAGTGTATAAACATTTGAGGAACAGGATTTTTGCAGTCTCAAACTCCTCATAAGATACTAACTGTAAAGAGTAAAATAACTATACAATGTTATTACATTAACAATATACAATAACTATACAATGAAAAAATCTGGCAGATACCACCTTAATGAAATTACCAAAGTTAAAAACATTGGGACTAATCAACAGCACACGTCTCCACATAATGCACAAAGAGGGATTCAACATCACTTCTGTGGGATTCCTGCCCAAAGTACATAATCTGAATCTAATCATGACCAAACATCAGGTAAACCCAAATTAAGGGACATTCTACAAAATAACTAACTATACTTTTCAAAAGTATCAATGCCACAAAACACAAAGATTCAAATTGTCCCAAACCAAATGAAACTAAAGAGACACAACAACCGAGTGTGATATATGACCTCAGATTCTCTTTTGCTATAAGGAACATTACTGATCCAACTGGCAAAATCTGGATGGGAGCTATTTACTAGATAATAGTAACTGAGTCAACGTTAATAACCTGATGTTTTGTAACTACTCTGGTTATATATAGAATTTCTTGCTTATTAAAAAATATATAGTAAAGTATTAGGGGTATGGGGGGGGCGTATCTGTAATTTACTCTTAAAAACAGCTCAGAAAAAAAAAAAACAACAGTTCAGAAAAAAACCACATACACAAACACAGGAAGAGAAACACATAGAAAGGGGAAAAGGAAGAGAGGAAGCAAATACAGTAAAATTTTAATATTTGGAAAATGTAAGGAAGAGATTTGGGATTTCTTTAAACTATTCTTATAACTTTTCTATACATCTGAAATGATGTTAAAAAAATTAAAGAAAAATCTGTATGCACAAAAGTGTTCATTATAGTATTCATAATAGTGAAAACTTCATTCATTTAATAATTACTGGGCATCTTACACTCTAGGTGGTGTGCTGGACATGATAAATACAATAGTGAACAAGCAAGCCTAGTTATGTGGCTTACAGACTTGAGAAGTTTCCTGGCATTTAATATTTGCAGGGCTCAAACTGGAAAAGTTGGCTACCTTCTATAGAACTTAACCATGATGTCAGCATATAGAAATGTTTAGGAAATTACAGTACGATCATTTGATATTAAGGCAAATCAAAACTAGAAAAGTAAAGACTATAGTAACAGAGGAAGATGTTTAAAGATATTAAGTTAAAAAAAAAAGCAGGATATACTGTAAATACTATTAGAATTGTACATCTATGTACACATAAAAAAAGATATAAAAACAGTACTCATGATGACTTTGTCTTTCCTATTTGAATTTCCCATGTTAAAAACTTTAATGATTAAAGAAAAATTCCATTCCAACAGTTACTAACATTTCAGAAAATTGTCATAATTAAATGTACATAAATAGGCCAAGTGATTGAGTTTAAGAGAATTTGATTAGTCAGTTAAGATCACCAAAAATTTTTTTTTTAATTTCCAGCTAGTTTCGACTATGTATATCTTCTTAAAATTACCTTTTGCTTCAGATTTGTGCCATTTAAGAAATGCCATTTAATGTGCCATTTTATGAAATCTGCAAAGCTACTTGTTCTTAATGTCTAAACTATTACGATTTTTTTTTTCAATAGAAGCGTATCTTTAAACCTAATGTAATATGACTTATAATTTGTTTGGAAGGTAAAGTACACAATTTACCAGTTAATGCAGTTAGGGTAGACAGTAACTGCCGCAGAGGCAGGAATTTCATGTTCCTGGTGACCAACACAATAGCGACCGATCACCAACAGTTTGCATATTAAGCTAAGGTGCTGAATATGATACACTCTGGAACACAAGTTTTTAATTTACCTCTAAGACATCCAGAAATGGCAAGCCTTGGTAAGGTGAGAGCTGATGAGGTTTGTCATTTATAAACCTTGTATTTTACTAAAAACTGAATATGTTTATTTTGTGAGAGGAAAAGTTTATAGTTTCACCGAATTTTCAAAGAGGTCAAAGGCCCAAAAGGTATCAAAGGTACTGCTCTGAATAAACAATACTATGAAATTTTCTAACTTAGAAATTTAATAACTACATAAAACCATTTAATCCAATTTTTACATCATGGTTAAGTCACTTAAAATATGAGTGGAAAAAAATCAAATTTCCCAACTCCAGGTTAAATTTAAGCTTGATTATGAAAGATCATAAATCTATCCAATGATTTACTAGCATATATATCAACCTGGTGAATAATTAGAGAATGTCTTCTGCAATATGTATCACTAAAAAACTTCTGATGACAATACTAATTTATTTTAGATGTATCTGGAAAATGTGCCATTTAACAGAAAATATTTATTCATTTTTACCATGAATGTATCAAACACTAAGCTAGGCACTGACATTTCAAAAATGATAGTCACATCTTTTGAGATGTACAAAGTCTATTGGAAAAGAAAGAAGTATAAAAATTGTTTATAATATAGGCAGGTGGAAATAATTTCCTGGAGTAGCTAAGCAGTATACATCCAAGAAGAACTGATATCTCAGTTGGAGTAGTTTCATCACTAACAGAAAGAAGTGAAGGCTAGGATGGACATTTTACACTGTGGGATGTTTACAAAGGTACAGAGGATCCTTCCTGTGTTTTGAGGATAGGATGGAGAAAAGACGAGTGGAAGATAAGGTCCAGCCTGTAAACAGTTTATGAATTCATGGTGAATTTGGGTGTTTTCCTGAATGCAAAAAGATGAAGCTATTACACATTTTTAAGGGGAGGAGAAGTTAACTGGAAAAAAAGTGACTCTGGGCCTTCCCTGGTGGCCCAGTGGTTAAGTCTTGGTGCTTCCACTGCAGGTTCAATCCCTAGATGGGGAACTAAGATCCTGCTGCATGGCACAGCCGAAAAAAAAGAAAAAAAAGTAATGCTGAGGAGCAATGTAAAAGACAAACTAATGTGGGAAAGAAAAAAAGATAAAATCTTTATGTGAAAGCATTCTTTCTGGAAAAATGTATTATGCCTGATACTTTTTTAAGAGTTCAGGTTTTCACATATAACTTTTCTTTTAAAAAAGCAATATATATTTTTAGTTAAAACCTTAGTTTACAATTGAACAGCAGATTCTCACAGAAACTTATCGCGGGCCTACTGTTCGCCTCACAGCCTGGCTGCCGCTTACCTGTAACAGAGAGGTTAGTCACCGCAGCGCTGGTTAAAGGGAGGACTGGATTGACCGTGAGGGTAGTTGCTGCGCTGCTCGTCACAAGGCTGGGTGTGGTTGCCACCTAGAGGTCACAAGTGAAAATATGCAAAAGCATTTAAAAACCAAAATTTAAAACTTTAAGTCCATACTGTAATTTATTTTTCCTATAAACATTTTTAAAATTCCAGATACAACAGAATAAAATTAAAGTGTCCAAAAAGCAATGATTTTATTAATTAATCTCTGATCTTGGAACTGAGAAAACTGACTTATGTTGAAAGGCTGCTTTCAGTAGATGGTTTTTCACTAATATTACAAATGGCTTTGTACAAGTTTTAATAAGAAATTAATTTAAAAATTCCCATATTTCAGTTATATTGAATAATACTCTAAATCATTAAAAAACACTACACCATTATAAGTGATCTAAACAAGAAAACTCTTCAAGGGGATCATAGAATTTGGAGTTCTTGTTTATTACTTCTATTTTCAGCTATGTGGGGGCAAGACTGTCTTGATTTTGTTTTTAATGAAATCTCATTATGGAAAGAATATAAAACAAATTTTTAAAAATGGACAGTTTCTTTTTTTGAACTAACATACATATTGATACACTAAATTAGGAAATACTGCATTCCTTCTATCCTTCTATCCCTTCTCCCTTCCTCCTTCTAGTACAAATAAATCCAAAATACAAAAGTCATGTACATAAAACTACCTAATACTATCATTTTCATAATTACTATCTCATGAACTTTATGATTAAAGTCTTACCAGTTAACAATCAAAGCTTTCACTTAACAAACGAGGAAGTGCTATTAACGATGACTTTAGTTTGAAAAGTCTCCTTGGCATGGAGTAATATTAAATTAGAAATAAATTAACAAGACAGTATCATAAACGCAAACTCAACAATACCCCCATCTTTGGAATCCTGGTTGGAAACATGGCATCACATCCACAATTATCCTAAAGATCAAGCGAGTCACATGACGACTATACGTCCCTTCAGTCTAGGAGTACTATTTTAACACTAACAGCAGAGGTTACTCAGTAAGGTTACAAACGAAAGGCCCACATCAATACAAACTCAGAGTAAAAGGTTATCTGGGAATTCATTGTCACTTAACCATGTAAGTAAAAGTTTAACAAATTGAGCCTTTAGAACCCAAAAAGAATAAAGAGCAACTATTTTTTACATAATTGAAATTAGCTGCAAACTGACTCCCACTTATAGAGTAACCTAATAAACTATAGCAGAGAAGAGAATAATGGAACTGCAATGAAACAGGAAAGGATTAAAACTGTTTAAAAAAGAAGGATCAGTTAAGTTCTTGGGTTAAGAACAAGAGATTTCATTACTTTATTTAAAATATAAATTTATATACCTTTATTCAACATGAATATATATAATAGATTCCTATAATGATATAAATTCATCTGATAGGTCATTCATAATGTAAACATTGGCCCTTGAGCATGTGCCCTTGCATCCCATCCTTACCAGTGAGGCTGGGCTGGGGAAAACTGCTTTGATAGGTGAGCTGCTGGTCCCACCACTGCTAGGTGGGTTGATTCTTTTTTCCTTCTGGCGGCGGTTACAAAACCAAACACGTATTACCTCCTTTTCCATGTTAAGTTGATCAGCAATCATGGTGATTTCTTCCGAGGTAGGCTTTTGATTCTGAAGGGGAAAATAATAAAATCATCTGTTGGAAAAACTTTCTGAACTACAGGCATAACCATGTCATTAAATGAATAAGCAAACAGGAGGAGAAACAAGAGAATGAAGTTGGGCTATACAGGGCCATATCACTCCACTTCTAACAAAAAACTTCTATATTCTAATAAACATACATTTATTAAATGCAGTCATATTAACTTAGAATATTATTCTTGAATATATATATGTATATTTGTAAGGGTAGTTAATCATGAATGAAATTAATGCTTTATTTATTAGTGGGAATTTAAGAATTTTTCCAGTGCTTCATACACATAATCTCATTTGGACAATGTGAGGAAGGAAGAGTTCTGGTTCCAAACACTAGAATTTAGCCAAACCAAACTACTTGTGTTTTCCCTGTACATAACATTAGTATTACACAGATAATCCCGTGTACATGAAAAGTAAAAACCTCACTAACCTCCAAGAAACTCTTCTCTAAGGCCACACGAATGTTGGTCTCTATGCTGGTGCGTTTCTTCCTCCTACGGTTCAAGCCCTCAATTCCCATCCCTGGAGAATTCAGGGCACTTGGGCTGGAGAGAGCTGAATCAGATGAGAGGTTCTCTGTAAGAAAGAAGAAAATACGTAAATCAAATTAGCTGAGCATGATTCATGCACATAATATACATATTAACAACAACAACCAACCAAAATATTTTAGGCTGAAAGCAAGTATGAAAGGTAACTTGTATTAAAATATGCTCACTACCATGGATCTTTCCACTGCTCTTATTGGCATTCTCTGTCTCAGGATGGTTCATTATATTGTCACTGCTATTCTTCGAGTTGTTTCTGACAAAGCAGTCTACTGCTCCTCTCTATACTCTAAGCTCTACCTCTTCTGCTTTTATGAGACAGCTCTGCTCTTCTGTTTTGGTTTTGCTTGCTCTTTTATTTATTAACTAAGGATGAAAGCAAGAAAACTCGGAAATTACTGTTAAATGTTTATCTTGCAAATGACCTCTCATTTTATTTCACTGGTATTCCTTCTCCTTCCCCTCAAACCAAACAATGAAACACTTTTAAACCATTTAAAATTTAAACAAGATTCAGTCATTTAATAGTTTAATGACCCTGAGCATGTCAGGTACATCTCTGAGTTTCTTTCCACTCTATGTTCTATGAAGGGAACAGACCAGCAGTTCTCACCTGTGGAACTCAGTAAGATTACAGATGCCGAGGCCGTATGTAGAACAACGAAATCAGACTGTTCAAAGCTGGGAGTTACAGGTTTGTCTTTGCCAAACACCTGAATTTTGTTCACATCTACAATGAGAACCACAGTCTAGGGAATCTCTATGATTCCTTACAGCTCTCACAGTCTATGATTCTGTGACTCAAAATTCAAAATTTCCAAAGGGAAACCACAGCACGAAGCATGTAAGTTAAAACTAATAGCTCAATTTTTTTAATGTATAAAAAGGTGGTCATTTTTTAAAAATCAAAGTATAATTGATTTACAATATTCTGTTGGTTTCAGGTATACAGCAAAGTGATTCAGTTATAAATACATTTTTTCAGATTGTATTTCATTATAGAGTATTACAAGATGTTGAATATAATTCTCTATACAATACAGCAGCTCTTTGTTGCTTATCTATTTTATGTATAGTAGTAATTCGTATTTTTTGTATTTATTAAACTCACACTCCTAATGTGTCCCTCCCTCCCTCTCCCATTTTTGGTAACTGTAAGTTTTTTTTTCTATGTCTGTGATTCTGTTTCTAAATGAATACAGATTCATTTGTGTTATTTTTTGGATTCCACACATAAGTGGTATTATATAGTAGTTGTCTTTGACTCATTTACTAAATATAATATTCTCTAGGTCCATCCATGTTGTTGCAAATGGTAATATTTCATTCTTTTTTATGGTTGAGTAACAGTCCATTGTATATACATACCAGTGTGTGTGCTCACTTTTAATAACAGAGCAGAAATACTATCAGGAACAAATTTATAAAAATCCATGGAGGAAGAACCAATAAACTTATCTTTCAAGTTTATTTAAATACATAGGCCTTCTTATCCTCTTCACCTTCCTTCAACTGTCTCTCATTCTGGGCTCAAATACAAGAAATGTTCCAAAGCTAAAAACTATTGCTGATTATGTAACCTTGCAATTACCAGACTAAATGAATTAGATCTCTAATTTATGCAGTCATAATTTATGTTGACCCTCCCAAGATTAGTGAGCTTCAAGATTCTGTAGTATCAATAATGTAAAAAGAAATATAATCCCCATTTATACAACAATCCCTCCTGTAAAATTTCAATGAACAACAAGGAAATATATATATATTTTTATATATTCACCCACCTGCATCATTTAGCCACTTCTCCAAAAGTGGCTTTAATTTGCACATGTTCTTAAAGCTGAGGTTCAAGGCTTCGAAACGAGAGATGGTAGTTTGGCTGAAGTCATTTCCATACAGTTTACCCATAGCAAGCCCAACATCACCCTGCACAATAATACAGAATAGGAAAAGAGAGAGAGAGAATATTCATGTAATGTTTATGGTCTTTACTCAAGGGTGCTGCTCCAGTAACTGTTCTAGACAAAGAATCAACAATCATTCCATTTACTGGGTTCCACAAAACATGCATCCCTAAGCTGAGCACAGTATTCCAGTGAAGGTTCTTGTTAATTAGGCCTCAATGGTGACAACATTCAAAACTGTCCCATATTCTTTCCATATTGAATCTTTTCTTAATAATTGAAATATCAAGTATTTCTGCTAACTCTCAAAAGGTAGTGCTGATATTCTACCAAGTAATTGATGCAACCAAAGTGATCTAAGTGATCTTTAAAAATCAGCTAACCTGTATCACCTACAGGGTTAATAGATATAACTGTCTGGATAACCTTAGATATTTCTGAACTAGTCCAACTTCACATAAATCACTTAAATCTTAGAAACCATGCTTCGTTCTTTAATTTTTTGTTTCTGGGAGCTGTGAAAAAGTCTCCTTTGTGCTCTTAGTTTGGATTTCAAAGTTTGTTACAAAAACCAGGTATTCTAAAAAGACTACTTCTGTACCCATTATAGAAATTCACAGTAGAGAGTTTTGACCCATTTAGTCAAAACCTTTATGGGCACTGGAAACTTGGTAACCTTATAGCAATAGGACAATGATCCCTTGAATATACTGCAAAAAATATCTTTCTCTATAAGCCTTTGAAATGTATGGAGGGCTTTTCCTCCAGCTGAAACCTCTCTTATTGTATATATATATATAGGTAATACAAAGTGTTAGTTGCTCAATTGTGTCTGACTCTTTGTGATCCCATGGACTGTAGCCTCTGTCCTTTGGATTCTCCAGGCAAGAATACTGGAGTGGATTAGCCATTCCCTTCTCATGGGATCTTTCTGACCCAGGGATCGAACTTGGGTCTCCAGCATCACAGGCGGATTCTTTACTGTCTGAGCCACCAGTTAAAAAATAGAAATAATTCACACTCTCATTTCAAACAGTTTAGTGACAAGACAGAAAGGCAACACTTCTGGTCCAAAATACTACACAGCTAATTCTACTAAGACAGCCAATTCCCAACTATCTTGGCAACACTCGTTTTGAATTAGGAATATCTAACTCCCTTGATTTATCTCCCCTACAAACTACCTTTTGGATAGAACATTGTCTATTAGCACTTACATAAAGGGTTAGTCAGTGAAAAGAAAGAATATTTCTTTTTAAACTCCATTTTCTCACTGGTGAGCAAATTGTAACAAAAAGCTTAACAGAAGAGAAATGTTGGATAAAGATAAAATGAGACTTTGAGAATACCTGAACTCCAACTGATCTATATTCTAATCTTTCCCATAGAATAGATACCAGCTGCATGTATAATTTAAATTAATTCAAGGCAGATAAATTAAAATTTTAGTTCCTTAGCACCACTAGCCACCTTTCAAGTACTCAATAGGCACATGTGGACAGTGGTTATCCTACTGGACAGCACAGATATAAAATCATACAAGGTTTTATTGACAGATGCAAATATACTATCTCATAGAAGCGGAACAGAAGCAGACCATCACATTTAAATAATTTCATTGACTAAAAAGCAACAGATGCCTCAGTTAATGTACTAATTTTCACTAATTTGATATAAGCTTGGTTTAGTGCTTTTGTAATACACAACCACCTTGGGTTCTCCCTCACAGAGTAAATGTTTGAACAGTTAATTCATACATAATCTGAACTAAATAATATCACTTTGATTTTTTTTTTTAAAGCAGAGAAAAAAAGGAATGAAGATTGAGATTAGGAAATAATGAATGTATCACATGTGAGGGATGGTGTTAGAATATGGCATGCCTCCTAATTATGTAGTAACATCTACAGCAGTCCTTTAAAAACAAATTATGTAGTTAGAAAATACTGTTTAAAACACCTAATAACATGTATATTTACTCAGAGAAGAGTAATTTGTTTGTTTCAACTAATAACTCAAAAGTCTAACTTACCCTCTGAGTGAATGTGTATAAACTGGATACAAAGCAATGTTTTAAAAAACTACAATTGAGGTATCTGACATAAAACATGTTGATCTTCCCATTCTGCATCACTAATGTGTGCCTTAATCCACACAGTCAAGGTTTGTGAAATGTTGCCACTGCTAAGTCAAAGTCATTTTGAAAAATAAGGAAGAGTTGTGCCAAAGAATAGGATAAAACCAAAAGCAGAACACCAGATCACAGGGAAGCTCCTTTATCAAAAAGACAGGGACTTTCCTGCTAGTGCAGCGGTTAAGAATCCGCCCTGCAATACAGGGGACATGGGCAACGAGCTCGCACATGCTGCGGAGTGATGAGGCCGTGCATTACAGTGAGAGCCCGCATGCCACTGTGAAAGGTCCTGCACGCGGCGATGGACCTGTGTGCCACAATTAAGACCCCACACAGCCAAATACACAAATACTAAAAGAAAGGAGAGAGAGAGAGACAACCCTGGCAGTGTGTTGGGTCAAAAGCTGCAGAAAGGCAAACCACTATTTGGTAGAAAAGTTAAAGGTTTTTAAAAGCCTTAACAGCCTTGCCACATCACTTGGGCAACAATCTCCCAGGAAACGAACAGTAAGCTGTACTGATAGCTTAAGAGCTGAAGCACTGCTAAACATGCCAACCTGACACTTATTTAAGCTTATTAGTTTATTTCTAGCAACCTAGTTCTATATTATCTTAGCTTCCTTTCTAAAAGCCAGTCAGATGGTTTAGATAGTTCAAAAGTACTAAAATCTTTGTGAATTACAATTTGTTTCTTCATAACTGAGACTCTTCACAAATATGCATTTTCTCTAAAATTATTATATCTATTAAAAAACATTTTATGTTCTCAATATATAATGTTTCTTTGAGCAAAAATAAATTACCAAAGAAATATAAGGAACAAAACAGATATCATCCTTGATTTTTTATCTACCAGAGTAGGTGGTATGTTACTACACTTTCAACATAAACTAATTTGGATAATATTTTAGTGCTGGCTTAAATTTCAAACAGTAATTATATTCTCTGGGGAAAAAACCATCAGGCTTTTCCTGATTCTATTGAAACACCCAATCTAATCTATACTTCAGTAATTTTATTTCACCTAATGATCTAGCTATGACCAGTGCGTTCTCTTGGCAGAACTCTATTGGCCTTTGCTATGCTTCATTCTGTACTCCAAGGTTAAATCTGCCTGTCACTCCACGTTTCTTGACTTCCTACTTTTGCATTCCAACAACACAATTGAAGACTCTACACATGGACATCACCAGATGGTCAACAATGAAATCAGACTGATTATATTCTTTGCAGCCAAAGATGAAGAAGCTCTATACATTCAGCAAAAACAAGACTGGGAGCTGACTGTAGCTCAGATCATGAACTCCTTATTGCCAAATTCAGACTTAAATTGAAGAAAGTGGGGAAAACCACTAGACCACTGAGGTATGACCTAAATCAAACCCCTTTTGACTATACACTGGAAGTGAGAAATAGATTTAAGGGACTAGATCTGATAGAGTGCCTGATGAACTATGGACGGAGGTTTGTGACAATGTACAGGAGACAGGGATCAAGACCATCCCCCCCAAAAAAAAGAAATGCAAAAAAGCAAAATGGTTGCCTGATGAGGCCTTACAAATAGCTGTGAAAAGAAGAGAAGCAAAACGCAAAGGAGAAAAGGAAAGATATACCCATTTGAATGCAGAGTTCTAAAGGACAGCAAGGAGAGAGAGACAAGAAGCCTTTCTCAGTGATCAATGTAAAGAGATAGAGGACAACAATAGAATGGGAAAGACTAGGGATCTCTTCAAGAAAATTAGAGATACCAAGGGAACATTTCATGCAAAGATGGGCTCCATAAAGGACAGAAATGGTATGGCCCTAACAGAAGCAGAAGATATTAAGAAGAGGTAGCAAAAATACACAGAAGAACTGTACAAAAAAGATCTTCACGACCCAAATAATCATGATGGTGTGATCACTCACCTACAGCCAGACATCATGGGATGTGAAGTCAAGTGGGCCTTAGGAAGCATCACTGTGAACAAAGCTAGTGGAGGTGATGGAATTCCAGTTGAGCTATTTCAAATCCTGAAAGATGATGCTGTGAAAGTGCGATACTCAATATGCCTCAAATTTGGAAAACTCAGCAGTGGCCACAGGACTGGAAAAGGTCCATTTTCATTCCAATTCCAAAGAAAGGCAATGCCAAAGAGTGTTCAAACTATTTCACAATTGCACTCCTCTCACACACTAGTAAAGTAATGCTTAAAATTCTCCAAGCTGGGCTTCAGCAATACATGAACCATGAACTTCCAGATGTTCAAGCTGGATTTAGAAAAGGCAGAGGAACCAGAGATCAAATTGCCAACATCTGCTGGATCATTGAAAAAGCAAGAGAGTTCCAGGAAAACATCTCTTTCTGCTTTATTGACTATGCCAAAGCCTTTGACTGTGTGGATCACAATAAACTGTGGAAAATTCTGAAAGAGATGGGAATACCAGACCACCTGACCTGCCTCTTGAGAAATCTGTATGCAGGTCAGGAAGCAACAGTTAGAACTGGACATGGAACAACAGACTGGTTCCAAACAGGGAAAGGAATATGTCAAGGCTGTATGTTGTAACCCTGCTTATTTAACAGAGTACATTATGAGAAACTCTGGGCCGGAGGAAGCACAAGCTGGAATCAAGATTGTCAGGAGAAATATCAACAACCTCAGATATGCAGATGACACCCCCCTTATGGCAGAAAGTGAAGAACTAAAGAGCCTCTTGATGAAAGTGAAAGAGGAGAGTGAAAAAGTTGGCTTAAAGCTGAACATTCAGAAAACTAAGATCATGGCATCCGCTCCCATCACTTCATGGCAAATATATGGGGAAACAGTGGCTGACTTTATTTTGGGGGACTCCAAAATACTGCAGATGGTGACTGCAACCATGAAATTAACAGATGCTTACTCCTTGGAAGGAAAGTTATGACCAACCTAGATAGCATATTAGAAAGCTGAGACATTTTGTCAACAAAGGTCCATCTCGTCAAGGCTACGGTTTTTCTAGTGGTCATGTATGGATGTGAGAGTTGGACTATAAAAAAGGCCAAAGAATTGATGCTTTTGAACTGTGGTGTTGGAGAAGACTCTTGGAGTCCCTTGGACTGCAAGGAGATTCAACCAGTCCATCCTAAAGGAGATCAGTCCTGGGTGTTCGTTGGAAGGACTGATGTTGAAGCTGAAACTCCAATACTTTGGCCACCTGATGGGAAGAGTTGACTCACTGGAAAAGACCCTGATGCTGGGCAGGAGGAGAAGGGGATGACAGAAGATGAGATGGCTGGATGGCAATACCGACTCAATGGATATGGGTTTGAGTGGACTGTGGGAGTTGGTGGACGGGGAAGCCTGTGTGCTGCGATTCAAGGGGTTGCAAAGACTCGGATACGACTGTTTGAGTGACTGTGGGAGTTGGTGGACGGGGAAGCCTGTGTGCTGCGATTCACGGGGTTGCAAAGACTCGGATATGACTGTTTGAGTGGACTGTGGGAGTTGGTGGACGGGGAAGCCTGTGTGCTGCGATTCACGGGGTTGCAAAGACTCGGACACGACTGAGTGACTGAACTGTGAATGATCTTGCATCATTTTACATAAATGTCATTCAGTTTAATTCTTTTCCTGCTTTATTTGTGACACATTAATCAAAGAGTAAGTCAGCAGGAATGGTTAGAACAACAAGCTATATACCTAGAGGCCTGTTTAAACCATTAAATTCAATCCACTTAAAAAACCCTCTGTTAGGTGACATTTTAAAATTTAATTTGGATTTTGATTAATTTGGAGTTTTCATCTTCAACAGATTCCTATTTAGTTAATCAGCCTCAGTTTGGTATTACTCTGTGTCTGTGTATGTGTTTCCATTATGCTTCCTTTTCCCCACAAACTATTTTAAACAAGTCTTTCAAATATTTCCCCTTTCAGCTACTGTAACAGGAATAAAGTAATCTTTATTTCTCTCATTCTTACTTATATATAACACGAAGGGCTAGAACCAAACGTTTTTCAAACGACACAGCTTAATGTAACAGTAAATTATATATTTATACATGAATAAAAATAATGAAAGTCTAAACTTATAAATGCAGGAAATGGCTAAGAAAAAGTTACAGTCCAAAATTAAAAACAAATCTGAGGGATATACTGCTCCTTAGAAGTCTCTTTGGACATGGAATGCAAGTATTTGAACCTGGCCAAGGAAGGAAGCCTGTTAAAGGTAGGTTCGTCCTACCTGAGTGAATCCAAGTTTGATTCGTCTTTGTTTGAAGGTCTTGGCAAACTGCTCAAGCTCCTCAAGGTCGCTGGGCTCCTCCAAGCTGGGAGTGTCAATCCGCTTTGGTGTTGCCTGGCTCTGTGGAAGCGTCTGAATTGGGGTTGCTGCTATTGTGCGTGTTGGGGTTGCTGGCTGTTAGAAAAGGAACAGAAGGATAAGAACAAACATACACTAAGAAATTTAAGTTTATATCTGGAATGCTGCAAGTAAACAATTTACAGGAACAGCTATATTCAAGAACTATGAAGACCATAAACACTGCGGCAGGTACAACCTAACACCCAGTGAGAAAAGCAGAGTGCAATGTTATATACACTACAATTACAGTTGAGGTTAAACTCGTACATCTGTGGAAAAGACTCGAATATACAAAAATGAAATCCATTATCCTTGAGTTTTCAAATGGTCTGAATACATGCATCTCATGTCATTTAATAAATCAGTCTTCACTTTTAAGAACCTGTATCACAAATATGCCACTTAAACTATAAGTTTCAAAACAGCAGGAACCATCCCTGTCTTACTATCCTATCTCCTACTTGTAATAGATTATAAAAAACAGGATTATTAAAAACTATTTTAAGGAGGAAAAACAAATCACCTATAGTTTAAATAACTTAACAGCTTCATTTCTGACTATTTGTTCAAGTTTTCTTCCATACAGCTTCATTTTTACACTGTTAAATTTATCCATAACCTCTAGACGTTTTCTTCCTCCCTCACATCTACTGATACATTTGTTAACCTTAACTGTAATTATAGTAACAAAATTTTATACTCTGCTTTTCTCCCTTAATATTAGGTTTCAATATTTTCTACTATGGTGTTTCATTCATCCTAATTGTCAAAGGTGGGCTGAAAGGTAATATTATCAAAATAATTTATTTAACCATTTCTTTATCGTTAGACATTTTTCACTTGTTTTTACTAACATAGATGATACCACAATGAAACACTGTGCATACAGTCATTTTTTCCACCTTTCTAATTAGTTCTTTGAGATAAATTCACAAAGGATTATCTGTAACTGGATAAAGAGCATACCATACACAATTTCATGGCTTTTGGTATGCATCATAATGCTGGTTCTCAGTATACAATGTTCTCCACATGATTGGTGTTAGCAGTTTTAAAAAATGTTTTACTAATTCAGGAATAAATTGTACTTTGCTAATGCCTTAATTCATATTTCTTATTACTTAAAGCCAAAATTTTCCCATGTGTTAATTATTACCTGTACTTCCTTTCATGTGAATTAACTTCACATCCATAACCCATTTATATATTAATGGTATCCTTATTCTCAAAGAGCTCATCAAATGTTATTGATTAAGCCTTTGTCTGTTGTATTAATAAAAATAATTTTCTCATTCTGCTTTTTTCCTTTTATTTTTCAGTGTATGTAAGTTATGAATTATCATTTGGGTGAACTATTTTTTCTTCCTAATATCTGCTGTTGCTTCAAATCTGAGAAAGCTTTGACTTATTTCTAGCTTGGATAAAGTTCCTTTTAATATCCTGTTTCTTCCATGTCTTTAACAACGGTTAATTATTTAAATCCATCTAAAGTTTATTTGGGGACATCAGGGTGTAATCTGTCTTGTTTGACTCACAGGCTCTGAGCAGAAGCCTCCCTTCTGAGGCATCAGTAGTGAGAGGCGCTGCCCTGACCGCATCATAACTGCTCAGTTAAGCCTTCCTGTGAACAGAAGCCCAGGTGAGAGATGACAGGACGGGATTACAGCTGAAGTCTCTGGTTATGAGCTTTTTTTCTTACGATTTTAATGTGTCACACACCCCTGAATTTTACCTCATGAGTAATATGCTCTCTCCAACTGAACTAACCGCCCCTGAAAACTACCTATTAGGAATTACACACGCCTACACTTCGGATAAGCTCCTCCCCACCATCCCTCTTCAATGAAGACAACAAAATTAATCTTTCTGGTGTGCTGACACTGGGAAAATTTTAACCTGACCACCTGGAGGAGCCCAAAACTTGACCAACCAAGTTAGAGTCCTATGTGGTTATAACTTCCCACTGAAACTGGCTGATGATTAGAGATGTGTCTCAACTGTCAGACAATTGCTTTATTTCCAGGCTTGAAGTAGCCCCATTCTCAAATAATAAAGGACTAAAAATAGCTTGGGTACCTTTTGGTGGAGTGGTTACAGATAAGTTACCCCAACTCCAGAAACCTCAGGCTGGACTGGGCCAGATCTAGAAATAGTAGAGTAAAATTCAGTGAGCAGGGGTCAGGATGACGTTATCAGCCCTGCTACTGTTTACAAAGCTCACAGGTCAGAAAGGAATTGCTGCTATAGGTTTTCTTTTCAACCTCATTTTCGTAATTCAGCTTATTCACAATTAAATGCACCACTTAAAAGTGTACAGTTGGATGGGTTTTGACAACTATATTTAGTCATAAAACTGCTATAAACGATTAAGATGCAGAAAATTTCCATCACCCTCAAAAGTTTCCTGGGCCCTTTGCTGTCAATCCTCACCCCTAGCCCCCATCCCCTGGCAACCACTGATTTGATTTCTGTCCCTACAGCTTTGTCTGTTGTAAAATGCCATATAAATGGAATCATGCAGTATACAGTTTTTTATGTCTGTCTTCTTTCACCTGGTATAATGCTTTCGAAATTCATACATGATGTTGAATGTATCAGAAGTACATTTGTTTCAATGGCTGAGTAGCAATCCATCGTATAGATAGGTCAAAATTTATGGTATCTATTCACCAGTTGATGGATGTTTAGGCTGTTCATAAAAGCTCTATGAACATTCATATACAGGTCTTTGTGTGAGCAAATGCACTCATTTCTGAGAGTACAGCTGCTGAATCATGAGGCGTATTTAACTTGAGAAGAGACTGCCGAGCTCTTTCCTAAAGTGTCTGCATCAATCCGCAACCCCAGTGGCAATGTTTAAGAGCTGGGTTTGCTTATATTCTCATCAACACTTGGTACTATCATAGTCTTTTTAATTATGGCTGTTCTTCTGGGTATGTAGTGATATTTCATTTGCATTTTCCTCATGACTGATAAGTTTGAGCATCTTTTCATACACTTATTGGGTATTTAATGTGCCTTCTTTGGTAATATATCTTCAAATACTTTGCACACACCCCCTTAAAAAAAACAAACAAACAGGTTGTCTTATTGTGTTGTATGAGTTTTTTATATAAACTGGATATAAGTCTTTTATTAGATATAAGTTTCAAGAATATTTTCTTCCAGTCTGTGGCTTTTCTTTTCATTCTTTCAACAGAAGCTTTTAATTTTTATGAAATTAAATTTATTACTTTTTTTTTTAATGGTTAGTGCTTTCTGTGTCCCACTTAAGAAATTACCTTATCCAGGGACACAAAGATTTTTCCTTAAGTTTTTTTCTAGAAGTTTAGGTCTGCAATCCATTTCAAATTAATCTTTGTATATGACTGTGAAGGAGAAGAGGGTGACAGAGGATGAGATGGTGGGATGCCATCACTGGTTCAATGGATGTGAACTTGGGCAAACTGCGGGAGACGGTGAGGGGCAGGGAGGCCTGGCGTGCTGCGATCCACGGGTTCCCAGAGTCAACACGACTGAGCAACAACAATAATATTGTGTGAGATAAGGAGTGAGGTTCTTTTCTTTTTTTTTGCCTATGGATAGCCAGCTGGCTCTCGATATGCAAGTCTATTGGACTTCTGCTCTATTTCTATTCACATGCCATCATCACACTTTCTTACCATAGTTTTTTTTTTTTCTTACCCTAGTTTTATAATAATTCTAGACAACAAGTAACCCTTTAACTTTCTCACTTTTCAAAACTGTTTGGCTATTCCAATTCTGTACAAATGTTAGAAACACCATACATATTTCTTCAAAGAAAGCCTGTAGATATTAATTGGGATTGTGTTGAATTTAGAGATCAATTTGGAGAGATGTTATTTTACCAATCAAAGTCTTCATGAACACATTACATCTCTCCATTTACGTAGGTTTTCTTCAATTTCACTTAGCAAGATTTTGTAGTCTTCAATGTATAGGTCTTATACATGTTTTGTTAAATTTATTCTTAATTACTGCAAATATTTTTCCTCTTAATTTCAATTTCGAAATGATTTTTATTAATATACAGATTTTTGTTTATTGACTTTGTATCTTGCTTGCTAAGTTATGAACTAACTTTGTATCATACTTGCTAAGTTCACTTATTAATTCCAGCAACATTTTTGTACATTCCTCTGAATTTTCTACATAGAATAGCAATGTGGTCTGCCACAGGAGACGCTTCCTTTCTAACCTACATGTTCTTTATTTTTCTTATCCTACTGCATTGCTAGGCTCTTCAGTACAATGCTGAATAAAAGTGGTAACAGTGGATAACTGTTCAATCTTTTTTTTTTTTTTGCAGATGCCTTTTAGCAGGTTGAGTAAGTTACTTTCTGTTCCTAGAAGAGTTTTTTTTTTTAATCATAAACAGTTGTTGAATTTTGTCAAATCTAGTAATTTGTTAGTATCAAGTGATAAATTCCATAGTTATGAACAAAGAGAATCAGAGATGGAAGGGGAATTGAGGATCAGCTAGTTCAATCACCTACTTTACAGATAAGGAAACGCAGGTGCAGAAAGCAGAAATGATATGCTCAAAGTCACAGCGAGGAAAGAAACAGAACTAGGCCTAAAGCCTAAACCTCTAGATGCCTAGACTTGCACTTTTTCTACAGTTAAACTCTGGAAGAGATTAGCTAAAGCAACATATGAAAGCTGAGATGGAATAAAACACAGAGAGAAGAGTTTCTTGGCAGTTTCTGAGAAAGAGCAAAGAACAATGACGGTTTTAAATGAGGCGCTAGGTGTCTCGTTCAAGTGGTAATCTCTATTGTCATTTATCAGGGGGGAGGGTGGTTAAAGAGCCAGAACGCTTTACTCATTCAGTACTAACACAGCTATTCTTTATGAACGTGTAAGAAAATAGGGACTCGTTGAAGGTTTTCAAAGACTACATCAATTTGGCAGCTTTTTTTTTTTTTATGAAGCTGATAAACCTAGCTTTGAAATTTTGGTGAGTTTTTTAAAACTATTTGAATTATTTTTATTAGGGAGCTGAATTAGACACAGCCCCAAAGTATCTCAAGACAACAGGATAAAAGAAAGCAACCCTCACGGAAGAAAACTGACCTGGGAGGTGAGGGCGATGCTTGGCTGAGACTGTAGGAGGTTGGCTTGGCTTTGCTGAGGTAGTTGTGTTAAAAGATTTTGCGCTTGCAGGAGACCTACAAAACACAAACATGTTATGTCCAACATTAAAGATTACATTGAACATATGGCATAAGAGAGTGAAGTGAAAATTTTCAACTGATATCCTGATAGTCCTACTGGTCTTAAAACTCTTAAGGTCTTATCTGCCTACAATTCAGTCTTATTAAGTACAATTTGGGCAAGAAGATACAGAAAAATGTAAAACTGGTATATGTCTTTGGTGTAACCTAACATCTCTGGTTGATCAATTTTTTTTTTATTTTAGGAAGGAATGGATGAAAGTGAAGAAGTATTTGAAACGCTGAAGAAAAAACACAAAGCTCAACTTCTTAACCCAAAAGTCATTAGAAACTGCTAGTATACGCTGGACCAGAGAACTGCTTAGTTCATGAAAGGGGCAGGCTATCTTATCCGTTAAAAGTGGAATAGGTATGTGTATAACAAAAGATTTTTGAATGATTAAGAAAAAAGGCTAAAAAAGAAAAATGAGGAAGCAGTAATGCACTAATATTCCTTGGGTTGAAGCCTTGATACTCTAATACTGTGTATACTGAGTCCATTAACCAGCCCAACAAACATGATTGCACTTTATACAGAAATAATACAACATTTAGCACTAAAAGGCCTTGAAGATTTTTTTTTGTAACTCCCCAAATTTGTACAGTTTCTAACATGATACCCTCTTTTTCTTAAACTTCAAAAGAAAACCAATGATTGTTAGAAGCATATACTTTCAATGCTCAAATCCTCAGCCCACATTCTTTGAACACATTCCCATGACAAAACTATCAAAACATTAGAAGCAATTTATCCAATATATGTTCAGCAGTTGAAGAATTTAATTTAGACTTTTGATCAAACTCACAGTACTCCTTACTGAGTAAGTGTATGAAAGGCAGGGAGAGATGACTTTCAATAATGAGGTATGTATGACAAAGTTTTTCTCAACATGAATATTGAGCTTAAAGTTAAATAAAATTTTTAAAAACCACTGTTTTAATGTACAGCTTCCGGGCCAAAGTATAATAGTTACCATCTGTGTCACACAAGTGGACAGCCTTGGTGTACCACTAATGACCTTTAAGGAGGGGCTCACCCTGCTGGCCCTGGGGCGTCTGTGAGATGATAAACTGCGCTGGTTGCAGGTTGGTTGTTGGATGGACCAATACAAACTGCTGCAGGTTGAGATTCTGCTGTTGAAGTTGTTGCAGTTGTTGCAGATCCTAAAAAAGCAGGATTAAAACATGGATTGGAGATTCTGAAATAGAAGTGTGTTTAATCTTAAGGTTCCCAGATGATGAGTTCTGTCATCCAAATAAAAAAAGAGTCAATATTTGACATTATTATAAACTCTTAACAAGGATGTGCTCTGGATATGTTCCAAAGTGTTTGAAGAAACCTGGAGCTGCAACAAGGACATGCTATTTCTAAGAGCATATATTGTGTCATGACTTACACTTAAACTAATTTTCAATAGTTAAATGCTTATGGTTGTATCTTTAGCATGTAGAGACGGACATGAGCTTTAAAAATCAAGTGAGAAAAGAATATGCTGCTATTTTAAGTGGCTGAATTTCCTCTTGTAGAGCAAAAACTAAGTGTTGAGTCTGAACCTGCATGAATAAATTAAAAGGCGTACGAGGTTTGGCACCAGCCTAACCCAACTAGGAAGCAGTGCGTACGTCAAACAGCCATCCACGTAAACCCGGTCCATAGCAGAGCGAACTCGCTCTATCGGCTTACTATGTCATAGCTTTCAGTGTCCTTGCATGCACATTATCTTCTTGGAGTAATGTCAAGGTAGAGTCTCACAACTTAGGCATTAAAACATTTATTTGGTAATGAAAAAATGGGCAAAATAAAACGATTACATAACAGTCATAAACATTAGTCTGACATCTATTCTGTACTTATAGTTTATTAACTTTTTTTTTAATGTTTAGTCAAATTCTAGCTATAATTTAAGCCCATTCTGAGTCTTCTCTGGGGGTATAAAACAATTATCCGCATTGGACTCATAATAACTCTTCATATGTTTCACTGATGTGACTACTACTTTTTTCCTCTCCTTGAGATAGAGGTTTCCATTTACTTTTCCTCCCTGGTAGAACTGTCTATGCCTCTCTAAATAAATTTTTATTATCTATGGATACTCTGCCCTAAAATGCAAAAATTAAAGCCAAACAACGCTCCAGTGTAGTTCTGCACACAGCTAATCACCCTGTAGCAGAGATGATCCCCAGTTCCTCTCGCACAGGGGTGGCAGCATTCACTGCAGAGCACGAGAGAACACATGCCTGCTGTAATTAGCTAATTAAATAAACACAGGGATCCTCTGCTCCAGAAATATGCCAGCTAATTGTTCAAGAACTGCCACCTAATATAAAGTTATTCAAATAATCAGCTCTGTGTTTATAATGCCAACTCAAATAAGCAAACAAACGTATTATTTCTAGTTCGGTAGTAAAGGTTTCATCACTCACCTCGCTGATTCAGAGCTTCTCAGGCCTTTAGACGGCCACGCCAACAATCAGAAGGTGAGCCACCACCACAGAAGTCCTGCCCTCTAGCCCCCTTCCCGGCCCAGCGGGGAGCGGCCCGCACTCACCTGCGCGATCTGTATGGGCTGAGACAAGGGGATCTGCGTCATGGGCGTGGCGGCGGAGGCGGAGATGGTGGCCCCGGCAGCGCTGTGCTGCTGGCTGGCGGAGTGCTGCTGCACGGCGGCCGCCAGCAGCTGCGCCTGGGCCTGGGCCTGCTGGAGGAGCAGCTGCTGCTGGGCTGGTGTCAGGGTCAGCTAGACAAGATCAGGACCAGCAGTTGGAAAGGGTTGAAGGAGATGGGCCCCTAACGCACGCCAGCTGCTTTCAGGTAAGTAACTCCAGTGGTGGTAAACCACAGCTACCCAACTTCATATGGCAAGTATGAGGCTACAATGGTCATCAGTGACCAAGCTACCGTTACTTTCAGGCCATTTACATTAAAATAGTGGTCCTCACTCTGGACTTGGTCACTCAAGCTTGCCCAAGGCCCAAGGGTTCAGGCAAAAAAAGTAATTAACTAGTAAGCAACCAAGAAAAGAATCAATATTGACAGGAAATGAAAAGAAATTTACACCCAACAGAACAGCAAGTGATTAGTGATATGAATAAGGAACAAGGATGCTGATCTGACCAGGAAAGAACTGATAAAGCACCTTCTAATTAGCATGAATCCCTGCCATATTCCATCACTTTCATTATGTTTTAAGACATGACTAAAGATTATAAGGTCTATTTCTTTTCCCAAGTCTCCCTACAGACTCCTCCCCAACAATCTTTTCTCTTACTGAAAGCATTGGGTCTCTGCAACTTTACATCCTCTTTCAAATATATTATCTCTGTGAAAAAGGTGGTGACAGACACTCTCTTTAGATGCAAATGAATCCCAATGTCCAAGTTTGACAGAAGCTCCAGCCACATGAACCTGGATTCCAAGTGTCTCTTACTATTGTAAACAGTAGGCACTCAAACAAAACCCAAACAAGAAAACAGGAAATGTATTTGAAGATCTAAACTTGCTTTCAAAATGCAGCTTATTTCAAACACACTTAAAGTGTTAAGTATGTTCTACCTTCTTTTTGGCGACATGTTCTGATCAAATCAAGAAGGAATATTCTGAAGAGCAAGTATGTCATTTAGTGGCATAATCCTTTTTCAAAAAAGGTCCAATACAATTTGTGTATTAGACAGAATCAAAATTGAATCATTCAAAATCCAAATATCCATCAAGATAGATGTTTATAAATATTTTATATAATATGTAAACATATTAACTTATATTGATGGGATTTTGTAAAACAATTCTGCAACGATTCTTAAAAGAGCCTTCCACTGCCAAAACATACTTAACTGAAATGAAGGAAATAAAATATTTTGTAGGTTGATGTGATATGAACTAAATAACAAACAACTCTTCCTTACCACTCCTCTTGACTCCCCCACAAAAGATAATTTAAGACACAAATTTTCAACATTGGAAAATATTTTTAATGGGGCCTCAGAGCAAAGACATCTGAAAAGCTAAAAGCTTAATATACTTGCACAGGTCAATTTACTACCAATATTGAAAGAGACATGTGTACCCCAACGTTCGTTGCAGCACTGTTTACAATAGCCAGGACATGGGAGCAACCTAAATGTCCATCGGCAGATGAATGGATAAGCTGTGGTACATATACACAATGGAATATTACTCAGCCATTAAAAAGAATGCATTTGAATCAGTTCTAATGAGGTGGATGAAACTGGAGACTATTATACAGAGTGAAGTAAGTCAGGAGGAAAACACCAATACAGTATACTAATGCATATATATGGAATTTAAAAAGATGGTAAAGATGATCCTATATGCAAGACAGCAAAAGAGACACAGACGTAAAGAACAGACTTTTGGACTCTGCGGGAGAAGGCGAGGGTGGGATGATCTCAGAGAATAGCACTGAAACATGTATATTATCATATGTGAAACAGATCACCAGCTCAGGTTTGATGCATTGACAGGGTGCTCAGGGCTGGTGCACTGGGACAACCCTGAGATGGGATGGGGAGGGAGGTGGGAGGGGGGATCCGGATGGGGAACACATGTGCACCCATGGCTGAGTCATGTGAATGTATGGCAAAACCACTACAATATTGTAAAGTAATTAGCCTCCAATTAAAGTTAAAAAAAATTTACTACCAATAAAAACAGATGACATTTATTGAACACTATGACATGCCAGACACTGTTCTGAATTTCACCTACATCATTACTCTTAATCTCTAAAACAATACTGTGAGCTAAGTATTATTAACATCTGCATTTAACTGAAGGAAACCTGAGGCACAGAGAGATGAATCAGCCAACACAGTAAACTGAAGAGCCGGGATAAGACAGCAGAGGTTTCATTTTAGAACACTATGTGTGTGCTCGGTCACTCAGTCATGCCTGACTCTTTGTGACCCATGGACTGCAGCCTGCCAGGCTTCTCTGTCCACTGAATTTTCCAGGCAAGAATACCGGAACAAGTTGCAATTTCCTACTCCAGGGGATCTTCCTGACCCAGGGATCGAACTCATGTCTCTTGCATCAGCAGGTGGATTCTTTACAACTGAGCCACTTGGGAAGCCCCTTATAACACTATACAGTAATTTAAAATGTTTTTCTTTTATAGGTACTAATCCATTCTTTAACTTCTACTCTGCAGTGATGTTATAACTCCAAACTGACAACCACTGATACAATTTCATCACTGTAACTATTTCAACCATGGGAACATGATTCCACTGCATGATGAAACAACAGTTGAAACATTGGTTTAAAAAAGTCCTTAAGTTTACCCAGAGCCTATCTGCCATAGTAAGAACAAATACACTCATGACAACTCATGAAAACTCATAACAAGAATAGCTCTTTTTTTCATTGTAGCTGTTTACAATGGAGAGAATTCCTTTAAAGACATATGCCAGGTATAGCCATGTATCTGCTACAGTCAACAGATCTAATCAGATACTGGCCAATGGCAGTTTTGACACAAAGAAAGTTTATTACAAATCTCTCAGTGAAAACTTACCCCAGTTATCTGTCCTCCAGCCAGCATAAGCTGGGTCTGGGGGATGGCTGCCTGCACTGAAGGCTGCTGGGAAGGCTGGCTTGGCTGCTGTGAATCCCCCGATTCTTCATTAGGTTTAGACTGAGGGGGTGGGGGGAGAAAAAAAGATTTAATAATTGATTTTTTAAAAGTACTAATTCCATATCTTAAGATTTAAAACACAGACTTATCTAATCATGAGTTTTCCAAATTCACATTTCCTTTCTTATAAATCTTTGTATTTTCCTAATTTTATGTATTAAGTTTTCAGATTTTTTATTCCCAAACCAGGAAAGCTGCTTAGTTTTTCTTAATTTTTAAAAATTTTCAATAATTCTTCTTAATTTTTAAGAAGAAAAAGTAATTTGGTCTTCCACTAGTCGACAGAATTTTTCATAAACACAAATCCTTAACTCTGGAAATAAGGAGTAAGAATATGTAATAAAATGAAAATATGTAAGAACATATTTTCAACCTATGTTTACACTAGACAGACCGTCTATCTCAACATTTTGACATGTCTTTGGTGGTCAGTGTAATACTTCCCTATATACCATCTCAGAAACTGATTATTTGACCCACTGAACTTTTCAACTAATCTTTTAAAGAACTATAAATTTAGCATTCCCCCATCAAATAACACACAAGCTGAGAGGGAAATGCTGCAGCCAAGAGGGAAAGAGAATATGATCCTGAAAGGGGCACTGAGAGAAAATTTTATGGTAATTAAAACTGGTTATGCAGAGCATTAAAATTCTGCCTAGATTTGCATATTTCCCACCACCTGTTTTGGGGACTGCAGCGAGGCTAATTAACATAAAGGCTCTGATTAATTCTGCCAGTCACTGAGAGATAATTACAGTTCAAGACTGTAAACATTCCACAGTGGAGATACAGCCTGTTTGCCAACATCTCTCTAAGGGATAAAAGTTTACCATGGCAACCAAGGCAGTTTTCCACCCCCTCTCCCTCAAAAGGGAAGGTCACACTATCTCTTTTTCTTTTCTCCTCTCGTCTCCATGTGTTACGAGGTCCACGTTTCACTTGGTTTCATGGAACGCTCAGTCCAGGGTCTTTAGCCATTAGCAACACTGCAGTCAGCCTCCCAGAATACTGCGCTTCTCTTGGCTGTTAGCTACCTAAACACTATAACGAAAGGAAGCAGCAGGGCGACTGGAGCATTATGGAGCAATGCATAAAAAGTGACCTTTGCATGTTATGCTGAATGGTTCATAGAAACAGAGCACCCAGATTTAGGTTTTGTCTTTAAATTTGACTGTATGAAGCCCATTAATGTTTATAAATAGGTTTAACTGCAATTCTCAGACTCATGACATGGCAGAGCAGAGAAGAACCTTGGCAATCTTCTAAACTCATCCACTTAAATACATGCAGGTGCCCCTTGGTATCTACAGAGAATAAGTCCCAGGACCACCCCCACACCCCCAACCCCCTGCCCCAGACACCAAAATCTGCAGATGCTGAAGTCCTTCACAGTCAGCTATCTGTACCTCCAGATGTGGAACCCAGGGATAGGCAGGGCCGACTGTATAAGAAAAAATGAGCTCCAGGAGGAAAAGTGACTTGCCAAAATTCATACAGCTAGTGAGTGGCAGAATGAGAATTCAAACCTAAGACTTAGGTCTCTCATTCTATTGTTCTTCCCTCTACTATAATGTTTTCCTAAGAAATGAAAAATGATAAATGGCTGTACAAGTTAGAAACATTTTTACTGAACTTCCAAATAAAACCTTGGAAGTAGACTTTTCTTGCTCACCTTTGGACATTCACAGTGATGTAATATAAAATGGATTTTTATTAATGGCAATGATTATCATTATTTGAGTCTTTATGAGATTCAGTAAGAAAAAAGTAATACTTCTAAGTATTTTCACTATAAAATTATTGCATATTCATTATAGAAAATTAGAAAAATACGGTAAAAATGAATAGGAAAATGGATCCACAGTCCCATGTCCCAGCTCACCTGTACATTCAGAGACTGAGCAGCAGCCTGTAAACTTGTTCCAGCGAGCTGGACCTATGAAAGTAAAGCAATTGGGGAAATTCTAATCGAATACTGTTGACATCCATCATTACAGCCTGTCATCAACAAGTTTCTATAAATGTGTGTTTTATTCAGAGCCAAGCATACAAAGAGGTTTACCTTATGAAGTTGAAACTTTATGGAAAAGCTCACAGTACCCCCATCTCCCAGCAGAAAATGCTGTTAAAATTTCTTTTCTGGAGATGTTGTCCCACACTAAATTTGCATCAGCAGGCATGCCACACTTGTATTGGACATTCCTTACTTTACATTGTTTGTACTCACAGGATACTTAGTTTCTAAAACCTTAACTCATCTTCAACATTGAGTTAAACAACATAGAAGCGGGCTACTTATAGACATTACTTTTACCCTTAAAAACAATCAGAATTATCTACTCATTCTAATTTCAAAATTTCATGTATATAAAAGTAAAAATCTTATATATATATATATACACACATACACACCCCCCACATAGTCAAGTCCTTAAAATATTTATTGTCATAATTCAAAAATCCTAGCTGAAATAAAGAATCTGTCCTATAAACCACATATGAAAGTCTGTCAGAACAGTTAATAGTAACACTTCACACATTCAAAAAGTTCAAACCATGGTTATATTAAAATAAGGATCATCACGTGGCAACCATGATAATAATAACCGATTCAGGCAACTGTCACTAATTGGTGTTCTAACCAATGGGTGAAATCTAAGGAGTAACATGATATTTACATACTCTCTCCCCATCTCTCCATAGATATTAATTACAAAGGGTAAAATAGTGGGAAAATCAGGAAGACAAGTGATCACAGTTAAAGCCACCAGTAATGACACATGTCCCTTCTGCTATGATGCACATAGAAGAATACAGTATTATTTACAGTGTGTTTCCCTCTAGTTCTAATTGTGATGAAACATCAGTCAAATCTAAATGGATGAACGCTCTATAAAACAACTGGACTGTTACGTAAACTAGGTTTGAGTAAACGGAAACCTGCCCTAGAATGGCAGCAGTGGGAATTAAACGTAGGAACCATGGAAAGTACTGCAAAAGCACCACACAGGGCCCTGGGAACTGCCTGGACACAAATTAAGGGAAAGAAGTTACAGATTACTCCAGGGTTCAAATTGGGAAGACTGAAAAAATTTATCATTAACATGATAATTCCATTTTGGATTTAGCACACAGCATCAAGATTTCCTGAACTTAAAGTTTCTTTGTGAATTTATTTCGATCATGATCAAGTCTTCTAGTATCTCCGTATTAATTATGAGGAAGAAAGTTACCTTTATAGTAGACAAATCTGACACACTACCTTAATCAAATGATCAAATTCAGTGCAGAATAATGGGACAAGCTGACATGTATGCTGCTGCTAAGTCGCTTCAGTCGTGTCCAACTCTGTGTGACACTATGGACAGCAGCCCACCAGGCTCCTCTGTCCACAGGATTCTCTAGGCAAGAGTACTGGAGTGGGCTGCCATTTCCTTCTCCAAGTTGACATGTACATACATAAACAAAATGTATGTGTACAAACATATAAAGCATATATGGTAACATGGTAACAGTTAAGTGATACCAGATGAAGAGCTTTTGGCTGAAAACTGTTCTATTGTTATTCAATTTCCCACAGATTTTAAAGTTTTCAAAAGAGAAAGTTGAAAACCAAAAGTGAGAGCATCCCTTTACAACTCCATTTGCCAGCTCCCAACATCCTGTGGGTTTCCCTGCTGGCTCAGATGGTAAAGAAACTGCCTGAAACGCAGCAGACCTGAGTTCAGTCCCCGGGTTGAGAAGATCCCCTGGAACAGACATGGAACAAGGGACTGGTTCAGAATTGGAAAAGGAGTACGTCAAGGCTGTAATCTGTCACCCTGCTTATTTAACTTACATGCAGAGCACATCATGCGAAATGCCATGCTGGATGAAGCACAAGCTGGAATCAAGATTGCCAGGAGAAATATCAACAACCTCAGATATGCAGATGACACCACTCTAATGGCAGAAAGCAAAGAGGAACTAAAAAAGAACCTCTTGATAAAGGTGAAAGAGGAGAGTGAAAAACTTGGCTTAAAATTTAACATTCAAAAAATGAAGATCACAGCATCCAGCCCCATCACTTCATGGCAAATAGATGAGGGAAAAGTGTTAACAGTGACAGATTTTATTTTCTGGGGCTCCAAAATCACTGTGGATGGTGACTGCAGCCATGAAATTAAAAGACGCTTGCTCTTTGGAATGGTGAAGCTGAAGCTCCAATACTTTGGCCACCTGGAAGAAGAATTTGGTGAAGAGCTGACTCACTGGAAAAGACCCTGATGCTGGGGAAGATGGCATCACCGACTCAATGGACATGAGTTTGAGCAAATTCTAGGAGACAGTGAAGGACAGGGAAGCCTGGTGTGCTGTAGTTCCTGGAGTTACGAAGGGTCAGACTTGACTTAGCGACCGAACAACAACATTCTTTAAAACGTGGCTTAAAAATGACCCTATGATAAAAATCTTACAATATATGAGATGAGCTAATCATTTATTTCTTTGTACTCATAAGTTTTACCATTCATTCATTCATTTGTTCAACAAATAGTTATTGAACATCTATTATTTTATGTCCATATGTGCTTTTCATTGAACCTCCACCACTAGTACCATCTGGCACTACCAAAATCACTACTGCTGACCTGCACAATTTGTACACTAAACCAGTTCTAGGGTTTATATGAGATAAAGGTTATATGAGGGTTATATGAGGTAAAGACCAACAAGTTGTGCAAAGTAATGCTTTAACACATAACTGTGAACATAAATCAAGCAGTTGAGACACATTCCTAATCTGTCTCCCAAATGTTTTCATTGTTTTATTTACTTTCAATTTGCAACCAGCTCCCATATCCCCAAACTCTTGGAGAGTCAATATTTGTTTTTATATTCCTTTTGTGTCTACTTTAATAACATATGGATGATAGATTTAGAGCCTGCTTTAGACTTAGGAGAAATTCATGTAATATAAGAGTAAAAAAGCTGAACCCCAAACCAGGATGTTCACAGTCAAGCAAAGCCTCTAAGTGGCTGCCCAAATGTAAATGGTCTGAAATGGCTTTAAAGAAGGAATACGAGCTGCGAACTCAAAGCCTTACGCAGCAGGTCTCAGGCAGTGGGTGTTAAAGCATTTTGGATGACTTTGTAATTTACTATTCAATACTTCCAGTGAGTCACCACAGACCACACTCACAAAAACAGTGACCCAGTTGTAAATATATCTGTTCATAACAAGGAACTCCTTTTCACACAGCTGTGGGGTCAACAGCTATACAGGCAACTAAGTTAAAGGACTCCCTAGTAACCATTCAGAATGACACGGTCAGATGCTGGTAACATCAGATTTAAATCAACTTTAACAGTCCCACATTCTGAAATGACTTTACTAAGCACTAGCATTCCGTGTCTGCGTTTTTCACTCTCTCTCACAGCTGAGCAGAACAACCCACCTGATGGAGATGTCCAAGGAAAGCCTGGGCCTGGGCTGTCGAGATGGCTCCCCCAACGGGCACAGGCTGCTTCTGAAAGTCCAGACCATTGGTTTGTGTGCCTAGGAAGCAAGCAAAATAATATAACTATTGAAAACACCAACACTGGAATGAGCACCAGATTTCTCTCAAACAGGTGCATTTATCAAGCACCTATTTTGTACAAGCATTTTTCTGAGTACCTGCAAGGAGGAAAAGAGATTCAAAAGGATGAAGAAATACAGTAAAATGATTTATCTTCTAAAGACAGGACTGCAAGACATGCACATGGATGCAGATAAAGCTTAAGTAACAAAACTATGAATAATAAATTATAATCATAAAATCATGTTAGTTCAAAAGTGAAAGCAGCAATTAGAGCAAGTGGGGTCAGAACAAACATGAGACCTAAGGTGGCTTGAAGAAGAGATTATCATTATTACACTGTTGTAAAGACTGGTAGAGACAGAGCTCTTATGGGAGTACCAAGGCTCTCTTCTAGTCTCTCCTTTCTCGATACATGGCTTGGACAGAAGAAATTAACAGGTGACTTTGCCAAGACTGAGATGAATTTACTCTTAAAATGCTTTAATAAACGACAGTAAAAGCAATCATTTAGATAAACAGAATGAAAAAAAAAAGTAAACAGAATGATCTTACTAATGTACAGATTGCTGCATACATCTAATTAGCAGGGGCCCTGCTATCATTATCATTTTCTAACTGTTACGTCAGTCAGTGCCTTTAACCACTCATAACTTAAATGTGCTCAGAACATTTTTATTAGCCTACAGTTGGGTAAAATCATCTAACACAAAGCTTGTTTTATAATAAAATATTGACTATCTCATATAACTTAATGGAGAAGGAAATGGCAACACACTCTAGTATTCTTGCCCAGAGAATCCCAGGGACAGAGGAGCCTGGTGGGCTGCCATCTATGGGGTCACACAGAGTCGGACACAACTGATGCGACTTAGCAGCAGCAGCAGCAGCATGTAACTTAATAAATAATGTAATGAAAGTGAAAAACAGCATGGATGCATAGGTGCTGAATGGTTATAAGTGTATCGGTTGTTCCCCTCCCGCTGCTGCCCAGCACCCAAGACAGTATCATACTGCCCCATCACCAGCCTAGGAAAAGATAAAAATTCAAGACTCAAAGTATGGTTTCTACAGAGCCCATAGATTCAAAGTATGGTTTCTAAAGAGTCCATATTGTTTTTGCACAATCATAGGCTGGGACTGCGTACAGAGAAAAGGTTGAAGATAAGAGGGGATCTAATTAGAAGATGTAAAGACAAAGAGTCAGAGGAAGCAGTTAAAAAAGTAGGAAAAATCTCCCTCAAGACTAACATCCTCAGAAGCCAGAGAAGAGAAAGCTGCAAGGATGGGGTACTATGATCAAATGGTACAGAAAATATAAGGATTAAGTACTGAGAAAGAAGAAAGAAATGGATCAAGAATTAATAAAATGGGGGAAAACACATAACAGAAATATCAACTTGGTTCTTTCAAAAGAATCATATAACCTAACAAACTTCTGGTAAAATAAAATAAAAGAAGCAACTAATTTAAGGATAACCAAATGAGCAAAATAAAAAAATGTCACAGAAACTAATAAGAAGATATTGTGAACTGATAAAATAAAACTTAAGAGACAGATAACTCTCTAGAAACTTTATCAAGACTGACTCAAGAAAGAAAGAAAAAAAAAAAACCCAAGAGTCCACAGCATTTGAAGAAATTGAATTAGTAGATAAAAATACTCCTGAAAAGAAATGAAAAGTCTAGATTATTTTATTCTGCTTGCTTTCAAAAATTCAAGGAAAAAAGAATTGCAATCCTATACAACATTATCAGTGTGGTTTTTAAAAAAAGGAAATACTCCATAACTCATTTTATGAGACCAGCATAACCTTGATACTAAAACTTGACAAAGTATGAAAACAAAAATCATAAATATATGAAAATATCCTAAATAATAACAAAAACAATCCAGTAGAATAAAATATTGTGACTAAGATGGGCCTATTTCAGGAGTGCAAGGTTGGTTTGGGGCTAAAAGAAATTCAAATAATGTAAGGGGGTAAGACCATACAATCGCCTCAAAAGATGGAGAAAGACGTTTAGACAAAAGTCAATATCCACTTATGGTAAAAATTCTAGATGTAGGAACTTGACAGAGTAAACGCACTCACTTTAAGAACAAGATAAGGGTGCTAGCTATTGGAAGGCTTAGTCACCAAAATAAGGAAAGAAAACAGTAAGCTGGGGTGAAAAAAACACACTTTCTTCCTAGATAATTTGATTATGGACATAGAATATTCTAAGGAATGTAACATACAAGATGTTTATCTCTCTCTCTTTAGTCGATAAGTTATGTCCGACTCTTGTGACCACATGGACTGGAGCCTGCCAGGTTCCTCTGTCCATGGGATTCTCCGGGCAATAACACTGGAGTAGGTTGCCATTTCCTTCTCCAGGCGATCTTCCCGACCCAGAAATCGAACCCGGGTCTCCTGCATTGCAGGCAGATTCTTTACTGACTGAGCTACGAGGGAAGCCCAACAAGATGTTCCTAAGGACACACGAGATGGCAGAGTAGAAGGATGTGCGCTCATCTTCCCAAAATTACAACTCGCTGTTGAACAACCATTGACAGGAGAATGTTGGATCCCACCAAAAAATGATATCCCACGTCCAAGGGCAAAGGACAACAAGACGGTAGGAGGGGCAAAATCACGATTAGAATCAAACCCCATACCTGCCAGAGATGCTTGGAGGGCTCAACAAAACCTTGTGAGCAACAGGACCCAGGACCCCACAGAGACTGAGCCACACCTGCCTTTGGGTATTTGAGTGTCTCCTGTGGAGGCATGAGTTAGCAGTGGGCTGCCGCAGAGGCAGGGGCTTTGTGTGCAGCAGACCTGGGTCACACAGCCTGTGGCATAAGCCCTCTTAGAAGAGGTCGCCATTAACCCCACCATAGAGCCGCCACGCAGACAACCCACAAACTGCAGAACAGTTATACCAGATAAATTCTCGCACTGTTAAGAAAGTTCTAGGACCCACAACAGATTTCCCAACCTGGGGATCTGGCAAAGGGGCTGAGAACCCTCAAGCAATTTGACTTTGGAGGCCAGTGGGATTTGATTACAGAACTAACACAGGACTGGGGAAACAGACTCTTGGAGGGGACAAACCAAACCTTGTGTGCACCAGGACCCAGGAGAAAGGAGCAGTGACCCCGGCAGAGACTGACCCAGACTTGTCGGTGAGGGTCCAGGAGTCTCTGGAGGAGGCGTGGGTAGACACTGGCCTGCTGCAGGGTCAGGGGCACTGAATACAACAGTGTCTGTACAAGAATTTTTGAAGGAGGTCCCATGATCTTCATCAATACCACCATACTTTAGTCTCAGGTCAAATAACAAGGAGGGAACACAGCCCTACGCATCAACAGAAAATTAGATTAAAGATTTACTGAGCATGGCCCCGCCTGTCAGTAGGAGACCTAGCACCCCCCACAGTTAGCCTCTCCCAACAGGAAGCTTCCATTGGCCTCTTATCCTTATCCATCAGAGGACAAACAGAATGAAAACAACAATCACAGAAAACTAGTCAAACTGATCACATGGGCCACAGCCTTGTCTAACTCAATGAAACTACAAGCCATGCCTTGTAGGATCACCCAAGATGGACCCAAGACGGACAGGTCATGGTGGAGAGTTCTGACAGAGTGTGGTCCACTGGAGAAGGGAATGGCAAACCAGGACTCTAACCTTGAGAACCCCATGAACAGTATGAAAAGGCAAACAGATAAGACACTGAAAGATGAACTCCCCAGGTCAGTAGGTACCCAATATGCTACTGGAGAAGAGCAGAGAAATAACTCCAGAAAGAATGAAGAAACGGAGCCAAAGGAAAAACAATGGCAAGTTGTGGATGTGACTGGTGATGGAAGTAAAGTCCGATGCTGTAAAGAACAATACTGCATAGGAACCTGGAATATTAGGTCCATGAATCAAGGTTGGTTTTTCCAGCAGTCATGTATGGATGTGAGAGTTGGACAGTGAAGAAAGCTGAGCGCCGAAGAATTGATGCTTTTGCACTGTGGTGTTGGAGAAGACTCCTGAGAGTCCCTTGGACTGCAAGGAGATCCAACCAGTCCATCCTAAAGGAGATCAGTCCTGGGTGTTCACTGGAAGGACTGATGCTGACGCTGAAACTCCAGTACTTTAGCCACCTGATGCGAAGAGCTGACTCATTTGAAAAGACCCTGATGCTGGGAAGGATTGGGGGCAGGAGGAGAAGGGGATGACAGAGGATGAGATGGCTGGATGGCATCACTGACTCGATGGACATGGGTTTGGGTAGAGTCAGGGAGTTGGTGATGGACAGGGAGGCCTGGCATGCTGCGATTCATGGGGTCGCAAAGAGTCAGACACGACTGAGCAACTGAACTGAACTGAACTGAATCAAGGTAAATTGGAAGTGGTCAAACAGGAGATGGCAAGAGGGAGCATCAGCATTTTAAGAATCGGTGAACCAAAATGGACAGGAATGGGCAAATTTAATTTATATGGCCATTTTATCTACTGCTGTGGGCATTCTGAAACCCTTAGAAGAAATGGAGCAGCCCTCATAGTCAACAAAAGAGTCAGAAATGCAGAACCTGGGGTAGTCTCAAGAATGACACAATGATCTCTGTTCATTTCCAAGGCAAACCATTCCATATCATAGTAATCCAAGTCTATGTCCCAACCAGTAATGCTGAAAAAGCTGAAGTTAAACGTTTCTATGAAGACCTACAAGACCTTCTAGAACTAACACTAAAAAAAAAGATTTCCTTTGCACCATAAGGGACTGGGATGCAAAACTAGGAAGACAAGAGATACCTGGAGTAACAAGAAAATTTGGCCTTGGAGTACAAAATCAAGCAGGACAAAGGCTAACAGTTTTGCCAAGAGAATGCACTGGTCATAGCAAACACACTCTACAAACAACACAAGAGAAGACTCTACACATGCACATCACCAGATGGTCAATACCCAAATCAGATTAATTAGATTCTTTGCAGACA